TTTAACCATCATCATTTTTTAAAGGAGTTAGTGCATTTCATCCCTGACTTGTTATCGTTGTGACAAGATTACTACTACTTTTGGAATTTTCTGCTCTAGGTCTTTGCTAACGTGTACTTCTTCAGGAGAGTGTAACATATTTTAATAGAAACTCTATTTTTAGTTGAAGACTTGTCCATTGCTTTAAAAACTCATTTGGCTGGATAGTCTTGTTTTTTGTTCTTCCAGATGATTTTACTTTTGAGTTGAAGTTCTAGTTTGGAGGTGATGTCCTCCACAATAGTAGTCCCCCAGGTGGCAGTAAGAGGAATGAGAAGCTGGAAAATGATGCCTTGTGAGTGTTTAAGGTCCTGGAGACCGTCCATCTGAAAAACCGAGAACCTGGACGTCCCTGGTGATCCAAGGGTTTACACTCTGCACTCCCAATGCAGGGAGCCTGGATTCAATCCCTGGTCAGGCAATTAGATCCCACATGCCACAGCTAAGAGTCTGCATGTGACACCTAAAGATTCCACATGCTGCAACTAAGACCCAGCACAGCCAAATAAATAAATTAAATTAAATTATTAAAAATATTTAAAAAGAACACAAAAAGCTCTGAGAACCCAGGAAAGACAGAAGGGTAGTCCCCAAATATCAGAATAATAAGAGGGTGAATAATCAAGAAAGAAGTTCTAGCTTCACTGTGCAGAAGACATTGTTAATTAGAATCATGCAATAAACAGGCCTATCATTGCAGGTGAGGTGTTTTTTGTCAGTAGGGTTTGAGGAGTCTTGCATGGGTTTCAAGCCCACACCAAAATTTTGCTTCCTTTTCAACCTGCACTAGACACGTTCCATAGTAGGGAGAAAAAAATAACTGTGTGAATTATATGACCTGTTCTCTTGAAATTTAACTGGTTTAATTATGAGATGAAGCTTGGAAATAGGGGTGCCATTATATTTTAGGTCCATTTTTGCTCTTTGGGAAAGATAATTTTCTGTGATGTTTCTAAGGTCCCTTTTGTGATTTAAATGTTCTTACCTTTGGAGCTTCATGTGTGGAAGAATAAGACAACACTGGACAAGCAACCTTTATTTTCTCTTTGGATTGCACGTTGAAGTATACAAGTTAGAAAATATGGAGGGTACTTTGTTTCTAAGAATTATAAATTCATTTATAATATGTATGTTAATGCACATGAATATGACCCATTCTTTGTTTTTGTCAACTCCTAAAGAAATTTGGTTCTAGTTTCCAAACTAGAGAAAGTTTCTCTTGTAAAGAGAAACCCTTATAAGAAAGCATAACAAAACAAAGCAGAAAGGAAAATAGCAAAACCCTGATCAGATGTCAGTTGTCCTAAAGTTCCACAATGGGGCACTATTGAGTTTTGTAAGTTGCCCTTTCAATGGGCAGAAAGGGAACCTTGATAGAAATGATCACCTAAAAGGTAATGCTTTGGTTTCCCATAAATGAATTATGTATTATGTATTTTTCTTAAGTGATGATTATAAGTCCTCATCAAAGAGTATATACTTGTGTAAACTTGCTTGGAAGTGCTACAGTCTCTTGTTAAAAGGTATCAGTTGTGCCAGAATTCTCTGGAGATGTGAACAAGCACAGGGAAAATTTAGAATTTGCAAGTGGTGTGCTAAAGGTAAATTTCTCTTCTAGGCTTTGCTTTTGTGAATTATTTCAGTTACTAGATTATTGTTAAGTATTCCTAAAGGCCCTAAAACCCCATCAACTTTGAGTCTTTTCAAATATAATGCTGTGTACCAATTTTCAGTTGAGATGATATGATATATAAATAACCTGTGAGTTTAGGTAATTTGGTGAAGACTGTTTGGCACTGTGTATGTAGACCGAATGATTAATTTGGGGTTCTATTTTCTTTTAAGATTGTTCTTTTGTCATTGTTAATATATTTAGGCATGTATTTTTCTTAATGTTTTATTTTTTTCTTTTACATGAAATAGCTCTATTGCATAAAAGCAATTTTGAAAAGAAAGGGGGAAAACGATTGAGTTATGCAAAGCGTGTTTTCCTCCACTCCTTACTGAGCTTACAGAGTATGGTATTTAGCGAAATGGCAAGTTTCAGAGGATATCTGATGCAAACTTGCATCCCAAAAGTAAAGTCATTTGGCTCCTACTTGCTTCACCCAGGGAAGGACGATACTTTGCCTGCCAAGGCAACCACTTCAAACAGTGGATTCTCAAAGGTCTTATCCCTTTGGCTTCAAAAGGGATGAGATATGCTGACCTCTGAGTGCCATTGTAGCTGTAATATGTGTGTGTGTGTGCACGCTCAATCATGCCTGACTCTTGGCAACCTTATGGACTGTACTCCATCAGGCTCCTCTGTCCATGGAGCAGATTGCCATTTCCTTCTTTAGGGATCTTTCTGACCCAGGGATCGAACCCGTATCTCTTAAGTCTCCTGCATTGGCAGGTGGGTTCTTAACCACTAGCACCACCTGGGGAGCCCATAGGTGCAATAGCACTCACCATTTATCTACCCTCTAAAATGCTACTTCCTGGAAGACAGGATGGTGCCTTAGTTATTATATCCCTGGCACAATTCTTGGAAAATGATAGCCCCTGAGGAAATGTTGGTTGCTGCATTAATATTTCCGGGGACTGGAACAGCTTGTAATTCCAGCTTCTCTGTCATTGCTATCTCACTCTTCTCACCTGAGCACAACAGAGCATTCCTTAGAGGCCATCACATGCATATGCCAAGCAGAGCTAATTTAATGGGTAGAAAGAGAGCCAGTGTTTTTTCTTTCAGGGATTTAAAAACTGAAATGCTAGCACTTTTAAAAGATTAAGGCCAATTTTTAATAATCCAAACTAGACTTCTCCTGGAATTACTATCAAGCTCACCTGTCTGTTGCTTCTGTGCAACCTTTTGTTCTCCTCTTTGAATTTCAGGCTGCCTGTCTGTCTGTGGCCTCAGACATTCCTCCCAGTGTCTGTGATCTGCTGACTCTTACCTCAAGTGGCTTTGCTGTGAACACTGATGGATTTCTTCTGCACTCTGGTCATTTGAGCCTGAAATCAATTCATTTGGTGTGTTACCTCCTTCTGCCTGTGGAGGGCGTGTTTTGCATTTTGAAAAAGAATCCATTTACTGAAGAACAGGTTTCAACAATACGTGAACCCGTGAACTTCCAGATGTTCAAGCTGGATTTAGAAAAGGCAGAGGAACCAGAGATCAAAATGCCAACATCTGTTGGATCATCGAAAAAGCAGGAGAGGTTCCAGAAAAACATCTTCTGCTTTATTGACTATGCCAAAGCCTTTGACTGTGTGGATCACAACAAATTGTGGAAAATTCTTATAAGAGATGGGAATACCAGACCACCTGACCTGCCTCCTGAGAAATCTGTATGCAGGTCAGGAAGCAACAGTTAGAACTGAATATGGAACAACAGACTGGTTCCAAATCGGGAAAGGAGTACATCAAGGCTGCATATTGTCACCCTGCTTATTTAACTTATATGCAGAGCACATCATGAGAATGTACTGTGGATGAAGCTGGACTGGATGAAGCACAAGTTGGAATGAAGATTGCTGGGAGAAATATCAATAACCTCAGATATGCAGATGACACCACCATTATGGCAGAAAGCAAAGAAGAACTAAAGAGCCTCTTGATGAAAGTGAAAGAGGAGAGTGAAAAAGTTGGCTTAAAGCTCAACATTCAGAAAACTAAGATTATGGCATGTGGTCCCATCACTTCATGGCAAATAGATGGGGAAACAGTGGCAGACTTTAATTTTGGGGGTCTCCAAAATCACTGCAGATGGTGACTACAGCCATGAAATTAAAAGACGCTTGTTCCTTGGAAGAAATGTTATGACCAACCTAGACAGCATATTAAAAAGCAGAGACGACATTACTTTGCCAACAAAGGTCCATCTAGTCAAAGCTTTGATTTTTCCAGTAGTCATGTATGAATGTGAGAGTTGGACTATAATGAAATCTGAGTGCCGAAGAATTGGGGCTTTTGGACTGTGGTGTTGGAGAAGATTCTTGAGAGTCCCTTGGACTGCAAGGAGATCCAACGAGTCCATCCTAAAGGCAATCAGTCCTGAATATTCAATGGAAGGACTGATGCTGAAGCTGAAACTCCAATACTGTGGCCACCTGATGCAAAGAACTGACTTATTTGAAAAGACCCTGATGCTGGGAAAGATTAAAAGTTGGAGGAGAGAGGGACGACAGAGGGTGAGTTGGTTGGATGGCATCACTGACTCAATGGACATGAGTTTGAGCAAGCTCCGGGAGTTGGTGATGGACAGGGAAGCCTGGTGTGCTGCAGTTCATTGGGTCACAAAGAATCGGACACAACTGAGCGACTGAACTGAACTGAAGAACAAGAAATCACACAGAGTCCCCCTAGGGCTGGCTTCTCCCAGTCTTCAAAGAGTTCTCTGTAGAGTCATACTTCGTATTTTTCTATTTCTCTCCCTTTTATCTGCTTCTCTTTCTTTCCTCACTTCAGTCCATCAGTACTTTTGGAATTACAGAGGGTCTTATTGTCTGATCTCAGTTTTTAGATGCAGGTATTACTTTCAAGCCACATACTCTTTGAGAATATCTAACTAAGCATGGAATCTTCCCCCTCCTTTCTCAGATTTATTTGAAATTCTCTCAGGTTGCAGACAACTTTTCCCCGATCATAAAAGTAAAATTGGTTCATTGACAAAAATTTGGAAAATACAGAAAGAGTACTGACCAAAAAAAAAGCCCAACAATTTGTATTTGTTTCCCTCAGAGGATTGTATTTTGCCTTGTGGGATGAGTTTGTGCGTCTCTGTGTGTCTTTGTGTATATGTCTGTGTTTATGTGTGTGTGTTCTGAGCACATGCTTTGAACCTCTAAGTGGCTGTACCATTGTCTTGGTGAGAACAGCAGAATATGAGGCCATGTAAAAGTCCCACGCAACATTCTGTTTCCATAGAAACATGTATCACCTACATATACTATAATGGGATGGTATTTTGAACTATTAATTGATGAGTGTTTTCTCCCTATATTTCTTTTTACTCCTGTCACCTTTCCTCACATGGGTCAGGAGACAGGACCTCCTGTGCTTCCTGGGAGGCTGTCAGGATGGAGCCAGATAACAAAGGCTGTAAATTCTTTATTCTTTAATTTCAAAAACTATAACCCAGGTGGGAGACTAAGGGATCAAAGAAAAAAGATGCAGTCACCTCAGCTCTCCCTCATATCTTTCCCTCTTTCCACTGCAGATATGAGGGCGTATGACACAAGTTATATGTTGTGTTATAACATATGTTACGTGTTCTTAAGCTATATTAAGAAATACAGCAAGAGAAAGATCCCAGTGACAACTGCAACAGTAACAAAGATTATCAAGAAATTAACTTCAAAAGAAATGTACAGGATTAACCTACAGAAAGTTATTGGAGAAATAACTACTGAGGTAAGAAGAATAAATGTAGAGAGATGACTTTCAGCTGGATGACAGGAAGACTTTATATTCCAAAGAAGTTAATTCCCCCAAAATTCATTTGTAAAGTTCATTCAATCCTAATAAAATCGCATCATGGTTATTTGTGAAATTTGATATGATCTCAAAGATCAGATGGGAGAATAAACATGTTAGGATATTTAGGAAATTCTGAGTTGGAAGGGATGAGAAAACTTGCTCTACCACAAATATATGATGAAGCTAAAATTTATATAACAATTTATGTTATAAAATGTGTTATGAGGCTATAAAGATGTTTGCAGTGTGCTACTGGTGTGGGAATAAATAATCTGATCAGTGGAACAGAGCTGAGGTCTGAAATAGACTCCAAGGTACACAGAAGTTTTGTTTTCCCAAATTTACTGCAGTAATTTCCCAATTTTCTTTATTATAGTCCTCCTTCTCCTTTTATTAGCCTCCTTCTAGCCTTTCTCCTCAAAACATCCAGAGTTATGGCCTCAAAACATAATAGAGTTACATAAACCTTTGGCTTAAACATTTTGACGGTTTTCCATGCAATTGAAATTAAATCCATATTCCTACCCTGAATCCCGGGATCCACTAGTCCTGCTAACCTAATTTCTCAGCACATTTCTCCACGCTCAGAAGGTCTCAGCCACACTGGCCAGTTTTCTTTTCCTCCAAAGAGTCAGATTCTTTTTCCTTTGGAGCCTGTGCATGCACTGCTTTCTCCACATGGCATCCTTGTCCCCAGGCTCTTTATGAGCCTGGCTTCCTCTCATGCTTTGAGCTCCAACTTAAATTCAATGGGACCTCCTTTAAGCAGTCTATAAGAGGAAGCTGCCCTACCCTCTGCCCCATCATTCTCTCTCTGCACTGTATTTGTTTCCTTTTTTTCAAGTTGTTATTGTTTACCTGTTTATTATTATCCCTCCACCATACTGTAAGCTCCAGTGTGTGGCACCCTATGGGAGGAATTAGGCTTTGTTCATCACTGTCCTTCCAGATTCTAGCACAGTACCTGCCACCCTAGGCATTCAACTGATGTTTGTTGAGTGAAAGAAGGAATGCATACATAAATAATTAATAAAGGTAGGCTTTCAGATCAGTGAGGTTACTGAAATAATGTTTGGTTAGAACAACAAAAACAAAAAAAACACTAACTTTTTATGCAAAAATAAATTTAAGGTTGATAAAAGCTTTAAATTTAAATTGTAGAACTATAACATTTCATAAAGGAAACACCAATGTTTTTTATATATCTTATGAGCTTACATGAATACCATTCTTGATAGTGACAAAATTACTCTTATGCTAAAATTTTGTTAGAAGTATATATTTTTTCCTGTAGCTCAGATGGTAAAGAATCTGCCTTCAATGCAAGAGATCTGGGTTTGATCCCTCTGTCAGGAAGATCCCCTGCAGATGTGAATGACAACCCACTCCAGTATTCTTGCCTGGAGAATTCCATGAACAGGGGAGCCTGGTGAGCTCCAGTCCATGCGGTTGCAAAGAGTCAGACATGACTGAGCTACTAATAAACATATATTTTCTGCATTGATGTATATGAAAACCTCATGCTCTTAGCAACATTACTGTCCCCCATCTTTCAACGTCAAAAACTTAAACAAGATAGGAGCTTACTTTGCTCTTAAAAAAATTACCTAGCTAAGCAGTTGAAGGTTGGTAGGATGACTCTGCAGCCCTTAACTTGCATCTTCCATCTCCCGACCAATGGGAAGGCGAGGGGAAGGTAAACATAGGCTGTCTCATTCTTTGGAAACCTAGAAGCTAGCCCCATGGTCATGACATGCATCTTTTTCTGTTTGTATTTCACTGACCAGAGCATGGCCATGCCTAGCTGCAAGGGAGACTGGGAAACACAGTCTTCCAAACTCAAATTTAGAAGTTCCATTCTTAAAAGATGGGAGAATGGTTGTTTATGGACATATTGAAATCCAAAGAGGAACTTGGCCCTAATATCACTGAGCTTATTTTTTTTCCCCTTCATTCATGTTTTGCCTTATGCTAGTTTTTAAATTTAGTTTTACCTAGATTTTTCCCCTTCTGAAACTCAAGATTAAAAGTTCACAGGGCAGTGTATGCTTTTCTGATCAGTATCACTTTCCTCACTCGTATTCACTCCATTTTCTCTTAGAAAATGCATTGCCTTTGGAATACGGACTGATTCAATAAGCCAAACCAGATGTTTCAGCACCATCCATGTTCCATGTATTTTTTTTCCAAGACCCTTCTTCCGGAGACTTCAAAAACCATGTCCATTAACCTGATTTTGTAGAGCAGGAATCAGTGAACTTTTCCTGTAAAGCAAATGTTTTAGGCTTTCTTGGCCACATAGGGTCTTGGTTGCATCCTTTTTTATTTATTTTACAACTCTCTAAAATATAAAAATTATTGTTAGCTTTCATATAGTACAAAAACAGACTGCTGGCCTATATTTGGTGAACAGGCCATGGTCAGCTTACTCTTGTAGAGAAACGAGTGGTTATGCGTGTCTGTATATTTCTCTTGAACAATGAAGGAGTGGAAGTTACAGTATTCCTGCACCAGATGGTATATATCAAGGGACTATAAGAAATTTCTTGCTCTTTGTAACCCTGATATAGATTTATTTGCTGCTAGACACAGTATGATGGCCAAAAATTATGATACACTCAGTATCATGAAGTTTTCTGCTCGATTTATATCATGTCACTGGAATGAGTGGTGCAGTTTGTCATATATATCAGTGTCTTTTTAAATGTTATAAACAACACATCTATACATGCCTGTGTTAGAACACTGATGATACCCTAATAACTTAGACAGTACGCAGCTTAAGAAATTATTCTCTAGTTCTGAACTTAAAAATGCCTACAGATTCTCTCTGAATATGCATTAAATCATACATTATATAATTAATCAGCAAGTATTTACTGAACACCTATCATATTACCAGGCACTGTACTAGATTCTGGGAATGCAATGGTGAACAAAGTCCCTACGCTCCAGTAGGGGGCGCTCACATACAAGAGGAGAGACAAGGACAATGGTCCAATAAGCAAGTGCATTTCAAACAAGTAGGTTGCCGGCAAGTGCTGTGAAGGAAGAGAAATAGATGTTGTTTGGAGGGGCTGTCTTAGAGCCGTCGAGCGTCAGTGGTCTCTTAGCTGAGCTGAGAGTTGAACTAAGTCCAGAAAGGCACCAGAGAGCAAGCTCTGCAGGTATCCAGGAAACAGATGCAGAGGAGCTTTCATGATCAGCAAGGGGCCAGCTGGCTGGAGAGTGGAGCGTGAAAGGGGAGTGTGTTGTAAAGAAGGTCAGAGGACTTACAGAAGCCAGAGAGTGTAAGACCTTGTAATCATTGCAAGGACTTTGGAGGGTTTTAATCAAAGAAGGGTTTTGATCTGACTTAGGTGTTAAAAGGACCACTCCAGGTGTTGTGCAGAGAGTAGACTAGGGACAGGATGGAAGCAGAGACTCGGTGGGATGCTGTTATATAGTGCAGGTGAGATGACAGTGCTTGCACTGGGTGTTCATAGGAACCGTAACTGTTTTCATGTGGCGCGGCACATCAGAAGCAGGTTTGTCTTGAGTTAAATATACTTCTAATCCTGGAGGGATCCAGTAGCACCTAATTGTCCATCCCAGTATAGGTGTTGCTAACCAAGACCTGTTTCAGTGGAAAACACAGACTAATTAAACTGGAATTTATTATATGGTTTACTTTTATATCTCAAAATCTAGACATTGCCATGTTATTATTACTAACAAAAAGTCCTGGCTATAAATTAGGATGACTTCATGAGGCAGTGCTTCCTTTAATATTGAAGTGTTAATGGAACTCTATTTAGAGCTGAGTTATGTAGAGCACTAATCTTCCAGCAATGGCTTGATTTTCAACCCTCTCTTTACATCACTGGATTGCTCTGTGGCAATAAGGAATGAACACAAACAAATGTAACTCTATGCCTAACAATGCAAGGCAACAACTGCATATAAACAAAGCTAAGCTCACAGTGGATTCACAATTAATTGTTGTGAATGACAACTGAGTGATGGATTTTAGCATTTAAAAATTAACACATTCAAGTGCTGAGGATACCATAGTAAATTAGAGGGCTATGAATACCCTCCAAGTTAATTTATTTTTTCTAATTTACTGCCAAGAAGTGTCTTAGCTGCAAGGTAAATGAAGCTTATTATTTCATCTCTACCTTTATTTCTCTTCCATTTTTTCAAGTTCACTGCAATGCTGAGTTTGGCATTTTTTTTCCTTTCCCACATTCCTCCAACACATTTACTAGTTTTGGGTAGTAGTCTCTCAAAAAAAAATTACAGAGGGAGGGTATCTTATCACTGCAAATGTATCCTCTTGCTAAGATTAATCTTTCTTATTTTAATTTTTTAGATAGCTGTAACTTATATAAAGGGAAGTATACAGATTTAAGTAAACTATACAACCTAATGAATTTTCACATATATATTTATTCATATAACTAGTACCTAATTAAGATATATTTACAAAATCCCAAATAATCCCTGTGTATCCTACTAGTCAGTACTCCACCAATGGAAGTGATACTCAGCCCTCTATCTCCATAGTTTTGCCTTTTCTTGAGCCTCATACAAATGAAATCATATAGTACATGTCCTTTTGAACCTTGTTTCTTTTACTCTATATTATGTATGTGAAATTCATCCAAGTTGTCACATGTAGAAGATCATTTTTTACACTGCTGTTTATTATTCCACTGTGTCAACATAGATAGTTTGTTTTTCCATTGTACTGTTGATGGACTTTGGCCATCTCCAGGTTTGGGCTATTATGAATGAAGTTACTATGAACATTTTTTATACATGTCTGATAGTGGGCATGCATGCTCACTTATGTTGACTCTGTACCTGGAGGTGGAGTGCTGAGTCAGAGGATTTATGTAGGCTGACTACTTTTTGCACCAAACAGTGCTTTTTATCAGTGGACAAAGAGT